AAAGTATACGTATACATAACTGCGACCTCAGGTCCAAGATGCATAAAGCATAAACTGCGGCCTCAGGCCCAAAGATGCATAAAGCATTAACTGCGGCCTCAGGCCCAAATATAGGTGTTCAACATTCAGAGATTTAAAATTAGGAACTGAGAATTATTCTGCATTACATGATAGTGAAATACTGAATCACACTGAGTTACATGATACTGGAATACTGGATTACGCTGAGTTACATAATATTGGAATACTGATTAGGACTAGACTGAGACATGTATTCTTGAAATGATTATGAACCCTGAAACTTCAACTGTTTATGACATGCTGAGTAAGCTATACTAAGACTTAGGGACATCAAACCCAAGTCTATATTGAATACGAATTGAGCTCACAACGTTCAGAATGAGAGTCATGAACGAGTTATGAAGCTAGAGAATAGAAGTTCTACAACTATTCAAGGAACTAGGCTTAACTATATTTCTGAGGCAATTGATACGTCGTAAAAGAAACGTAGTATAGGGAGAATTATTAACATTCCCAAACATAGAGAGTTAGCCTCACATACCTTAACTTCCTTCTCTTGAGCGTAATACAACATTCTCCAACCCTTTCACCTTCAATCTATATCAATACAAGTCAAAGGGATTCCATATTAGCAACAATACTCATGTTTTGGTTACTTAGGGATCTTCTCAAACACTTGGTGGTATAAAGCTTCATATTCCTTATTAATGGTGTTTCTACACCCAATAACCCATTCTCTTGCTCCTAAATAAATTCTAAAGTCTCAAATGGTTATAAACAACATTATTCTTTATCACCCATAAGGTAGTCAACACCCATAGCCAATAATAACCAATCAACAACCCAAACCTATCATCGTTCATGCTTTTCTATCAAACCCATCAACTCATATCTCATGAAATAGAGTCTATAATCATTAGTTCAATGATAGAATCAACTAGAGGGTGAAGATATTACCTTTTTGACGTTCAATCTTCTTAAATTCGAGTTCTAGGGTTTCTTCTCTCAACAATGGTGTCCTAATCGAATATCTAATGATATGGAGGGTTTACCCATGTTAATAAGATGTTGGGAAATAAAAATTAACTTAGAATCACCATTAAAACTTACCTTGGATGGTGGAGGGACCCTTAAGGAGTTAGGTATTTTTGAGAGTTTTCCTTTGTAGAGTTAGCTTTTATGTTTTGGGGTTGTGGGGGACAAAATAGGGCTAAAAAAATGACTTTACAAGTTGTCCCCCGCGTCCCAGTTGGTGCGACCGCGGTCCCGACCGCGGTAAATCGCTGAGACACTGCCTCGCCACCACGACCGCGGTGGTTGCATACCTTTCTATAAAATGGGGATAACGTTTTGCACAGAACTCCGTTTAGGATCCACAATATACCGTTGGAAAGCTATTTCAAAGGCCTATAACTTTTAAGTTTTATGTGTTCTAATATTCCTGACATATTTTCATTAAAACCTGCTGGAAGGCAGACCTTCTGCAAACTTAGGCGATTTTATCAAATCTTATGCACCTCACTTTCCTTCTTGATTTTTAAACAACTATTTTCACCTATAATCATCCCTATAGGATATAATATGCCCAAAATATAACCTTACTACTCATTTAACTCATTCTACCTAATCCGAATGTGCGGGGTGTTACATAGGTATACAGGAACCCATTTCTCCTTCTCCAAATAAAGTTTATAAAACCAATCCCTTCCATCTAAGTTATATTTTTCAATATAATCAGTCCATCATCTCTCAAACTTAGCAACGTTTATGCTATCAAGGACTAATGCCTTAAATTCTGCCTTTGCAATCTTACCATCAAGAACTCCGCTTAACTTCGTAGGCAACTTTGCGAATATGTGCCATATACAATAGCTATGTACCGTATTTGACATCATTGCATTGATGGCAGCCTTAATACTATCACATTGGTCAGTTATGATAGCTAATGGATGGACATTGTTTAGAGCCCCAAACCATGTAGATAGCACCATTTTGTAACTTGTTATATTCTCACTAGACATAAGAGCACATCCCAAAAGTATGGACTGCCTATGCTGATTGCCACCAACAAATAAATCAAATGGCATATTGTATCGATTCATAAGGTATGTGGTATCAAGGCATATTACATCATGAAACTCCTCATATGCAACCTTAGAGTGTGAATGAACCTATACGACATTACGAAATCAACCAAAACTATCCACATCTATAGAGTAGTAAAATTCCCTATCTTTTTGCTGCATGTCACTGAAGAACTTGAGTAATGATTGTGCATCCCCTTCTTGTAACTGAAGCTTTCTACTATAATTTCTACAGTCATTTGGTGTACAACCCGGATTTCGGGGCCACCAACAAGTACTTCAGTGACTCTTATATTTTTTTAGGGTCTTAAGCCAGCAATATCTTTGGTTGCAATAGTTCTCTTAAGAGAATTACTAAGCGATTTGTGTCCAACCATCAATCGCGATAGTGCTGGTTCCAATTGATGATGATATTTTTTAACCACCTTTGAAACACACCATGAACCATTCTCCTCCAAAATTCCATTTATTCTAGCACGACAGTTCCTCCTCTTGGTAACATGCTTATTTCTTGGTTTTCTAGACCTATCACAACCATATTGTACATACCTAACAATATCACCACCTTTTTTATTTGATGTTCCTTTGACAATGCAAAACCCCGATAATCTTGCATGTTCTCTGTAATAATCAAACATAACATCCTTACTACTAAACTGCATCCCAGTAATTGGACCAATTATGAGATCTTCTTCATTGAACTCATTAGGCATTTCCCTGTCCTCTCCAACTTCTCCCTCTTCCTCTAAATAATGGCCGTCGTCGTCGTCGTCGTCATCATCATCATCATCATCGTCAACTTGATTTTCTCCATCATTGAAGTTGCCGTCAATACCAGTGTCGATCGACTCATCTTCATTCATCAAACTGTCGTCTGAATTCAACCCCAATGATATGTGTAATGCATTCCTTAGTTGCTCCGACCTAGTTTCTAGGCTGTTATTCGGGTTTAATGGCTCCAAACTAGTTTCTAGGTTAGCATTCATGTTTAGGTTAAGGGAAATGTGGTGAATTATGTATTTACTGAAAGCTCTCTTAACATAAGTATATGGTATGACAAGGAATAACATATAAATGAAAAAATAATATTATGTATACATAATAGACTTTTGATCTTTCCATCCGTATAAATTGCATTTAAAAAAAATACGTAATTGTATTTAAAAAAATGTAATGAGCGTATATACGAAGGCTGCTATCCGTATATACGAAGGCTTTTTATCTTCCCATGCATGAGAGAATGATGATTTATGGGATCAATGTTTTGGGATAATCAAAATTTATTAACTAATTTTGGAGGGAAATATGGCTATTAAGCCAAATGTGAAATGAAGGGCTTTACTGGTATTTTACGAGTGTGGTCATTATTGGGCCACGCTGAGTTTGGCCGAATAGCAGCACTCTAAAGAAAAATATATAATATTCTTGAGGTGATAAATAATTGCACACTATAGGAAGTCATAAGTATTCAAAATCGTATGCAATAAATTTGTCGCCTTTATATGTGAACTTGGCAAGACCAGAACACAGCCGATACCTTTACCGCCAAAAATAATATGGAGCCAAATCATTCATTAATCTCCATGCATAGAGATACTATTAGTTGGATGAAGTAATTTCGTGAAATTTATTAATTTCCCGAAGAAAATGAGAATATTAAGATCACTTGGTAAATGGTTGAACAAACCAACTGACAGGGAAATTATATTTGGCATTTTCACTCAAATTTTGCGGTTATTAAAAATTACTATCTATTAGGCATTTGTTAATTCAGGCATTTGCTAAAGCTCTAAGGTTCTGCACTAACAACTGTGCCGAAGTTGAGGCAACTTCCGTTGCAGTAAATTGGTGTGTACTTATGAACAAGCAACATGATATTCTAGAATTAGATTCACAATTTGTGGTGTATATGTTACTAGGAAAGATCAATGTTCCATGGAGTCTTGAATATGTAGTCCAATCAATGAAAATGGGTATAATGAAGCAGAATATCATAATTCAACATTGTAATAGGAAAGCTATTGATGCGTTAGCTAAACATGGTGCAACCTTACAACAATTCAACTCCCCAGAAATCTATTATGGGAAGGAGGATATGCTAGTAGAGGCCAGAGATCCATACACTTTGGACAAAGCGGGAGTACCTTCTTTAAAAATCAGGAAAGCTAAACATAGTTCCATATTTCCTCTTGCTTCTTAATGTATATAATGTTACAGTGTAACGGGACGACCTTTTTCCATGCTAATTTTGTAGTACATAATGTAACCCTACCTGTAGTATTAACACTAGGACCAAAACTTCTTGGTTGTTACCAAGGGCGGACCCAAGTGGTGAGAAATGGGTTCAACTGAACCCCCTTCGTCAAAAAATAATACTGTGTATATGTATAAATTATGGCTAAAGCAAGGTAAATTTTGTTTAGAAATTATTTTTGAACCCGCTTATACGGCTTATACCGCTTATGTTAGTTATGGACTTCTCCGACTGAACCCACTTGTACAAAATCCTGGGTCCGCCACTAGTTGTTATTGGAGAGACACTACTGCAGTTTTTTTTTGTGAGCTTAAAAGTGTAATTGAATTGGGAATGCCCAATTCACAAGTGCAATTTGAGGAGTTAAGGTCTCATATCCCCCTCCTTCATGTGTTCACTTTTTGGATATTAATATACTCCGTGTAAGGTAGGAGTTAATGCCAAACCCCCAAGCACCTACAAGTCAATATAACCTGAGGTGAAACTGGCTTTAAAAAAAATAAAATCTATTGCAAGGTTTCATAATTCACCAACAATAACAGAAATCTCTAAGTCGAAAAGAATGTTCTACTGTGAAAATGTTTACTAAATCTTTTCTGATATTGAAAAGTTGGTAAATAAACAACTACTGGCTACTGCAATTGAGGCAATGGAATATAAATTTTATAATCATCTTATACATTGTCAGTAAACAAAGCTAAACTCCTAAATATATTTAAATGAAAAGAAGAATTCATGATTTCCGGTATATCAATATACTGTGAACACTTGAATGCCAACGGAACGGATCGTAAAAAACGTTACAGTACTGGTAAAAGCAAAGAGAAGCTGATATATATATGTAGCAAATTAAAATGTTGCATCTTTATTTAATTATTTCGAGATAGTACTGAAGGATTAATATAGGCGACTCTAATTTGTTTGGGATTGAGGCGTAGCCGTTGTTGTAGTGAAGTTTCAAAAGGGAGCAGAGAGTGGTTCCTTAAGCTTAGATTGATCAGGCGAGTCTATTATCGCTGCAGGACACGAGCATTGACAGGATGCCTCTATCACCACGTTTGACTTCATTACTTGGGCAACGTAATCTTCTTCTTTGCAGTTTTCGAGTGATTGCGCCTCCTTTATTTCAATAACTGCCTTTCTTCCCTATGGTACGTACATTTGCGTTTTGAAATAATCCCAGAAAGAATTCTCGTTAGAAAAGGCGATGTAAGCAAACACAAATTTAAAATTGTAAATCGGTAATACAAAATATCACTGCAGTCGCTACTCGTGTGATAACACTTTTTAACTATATATACATGTAGTTGGGTCAATTGATGCAGGTGCATTACCCTCTTAGCTATAAGACAGAAGAAAATTTAGGATCTAGAGCCAATGAGTTCAGAATGAATGTAATCTTATTTATTGCACAATATATAATAGCAATAATTTTAGTTAAACCAATAAAACCCGTCCTAAATATGCCTATGACATAAGGTAAACGTCCATCCGCGAGTATGTCTAAGGACAACTATAAGATTGTACAAATTAGCAATAGCAAAGCATATATATGTGATGGCTGCAGACCTCTAAAAATATATTTGATGCTTCGTCCGATTCTGTATTCTGCACTATGTCAACAGCAACTTCCTGCATTATTATCATAAAATAACATAATCTCAACTAGCTCAAGAAATTAAAAGAATGATGGTGAAACAATATAGTGATAGTGAAATCAAACTAGAGATTGGAGGCATTACTCGGGCGAGGTTAAGTTGACCTTGATTCAATGTCTTAGGCTCCATCTCAATGGAGCAGCAAAAGTTTGCCATGAATAAATGGATAAAAACTCAACAACAGAAGGCAAAGAAAATAATAGGCCACTGCCCATCACAAAACATAAGATGAAATCAAAATGCCAACTCGCAACTGCTAATTAATAGTACTCCAAAATATAGCTAAGGTAAAGGTGGTAAAATTTCCAATGGGAGTTCACGGAGTCTTGTTGGGTGAAATTGAGGTGGGGAATTAAGGAAAATGGAGAAAACAAAGTAAAAGTCTTCTATTTTAGCATAATGCATTTACATCTCGTGAATATGCACTGGATTGAAAATGAGATCATTGATTTATTGAAGCAGAAGAAATGGAGAACAAAATCTTCACAAATCACGAGCCCAATGCCTTGTCTCTTTAATTGGTTGGTTGAGGACCTATCAAAAGGCGACCTTCTTTAATTTTGTTGGATTACAAAATTGACTGTAGTTAAGTTTGCATTGGAGATGACACAATCAATCTCTTTTAGTAAGTAGTAATAAATATGCCCAGTTTAAATGGGATGAATATGACCCGTTTATTGAATTGAGATATGCGTTGAGCCCGAAATGACTCATTAGAACTGTGCTGTCAACTGCAACTCAAATAAAAAAATACTGTTTACCGTGAAAATGGTAATAGCAATTAAATTTATTGATAGAACTTTAAAAATACGTAATCTATTTTAATGATTGTTAAAGCAGTTGATGCTAGATATATGAAAATAAAAGGTGAAATGCGAGCTAAAATGGTGTTACGATCAAACCGAGGAGTAAGCTGTCTGGGCCTCGGGCTAACCGATGAGGGACCTCGAGGTCGATGCCCGGGTTCGGGCTCGAGCTATCGTGGATAACCGTGAAGAGATTAACAGTCAGAATATAATTAAATGAGGCTCTTTATGGCCAATAACAAGCAATAAATGAAGAACAAGTATGAAAGCAACAAGCAATAACAATAGTGTCGAGAGAATATGTTAGAGAGAAAAAGAAAGAGTTCTTGTATATTTCGTGTAGAATAGTTGGATCAACAGGGTTTACAAAGTGCCAAGGATTCCCCTTATATAGAAAGGAAAATCCCAACATAGTACAATATACATTAATGATAAAGAAAGCGGGATGGGACAACAGACTAGCTTCATGATGCAGGTGCAGACCAGCTTTTAGACTAGCCTGATAGACTCATCCAGCCCTGGCTGCATTCTTCGGAAACTCCCCATGTCCGTTGGGGTCTCGACCAACATTATCCCCAGATTGGGTGTCGATAGATCTCGAGGGGGGTATTCGATCCATGGTCTCAAACCTCCGAGGTGACCTCCCGGAATGCCTTATTAATGAGAAATTGGTTCCCCCGATTTCACCATACATATATAGTCCCCGCGTTTCTTAGAGATAAGCGACAAGAAACGAATTTGACATCCCACTCCGCGGGCTTCCCGCAATGACGTCGTGCTGATGATGCAAGCTTCTATGATTATCGAAACGTTTCGTCGTCTCGCTTTTCCAGGACCGTTCAACGCATCACAGTTTCTCATTCTTCAGGGCCATAATACCGCCATCGATTCAGATCCCATGGATGCATTGAATGCGCCTGTCGTTACATTTTTTGAGGGCGATAATAACGTCATCGGTTACGTTGCCCCTCTTTCTATAAATGGGGGTCTTGGAGGATCAACTTTTCACCCAATTATTTTTCCATACATATCCATTCCTCCTTCCTTGCTATCTTTATTCTTTGTTGTTTACCATGTTTGGGGCCCATGACCTCAAGATTTTATGGCAACATCAGGCATGCATGACCTATCTTTCGGACATTCTCTGGTCGAGTGAGATTACACTATTTTTATGTTGTTGTTGTTGTCATCTCCGTCGGCTCGGGATGATGAAGCAGAGGACCGTTTTCTTCCGACCCGAGGAAATATTTGGATTATACACCGCTGCTCTAGAGGGGGCTCGGATTATACATTGCTGCTCACCCTCCTTCCCCGACTTGGCGCATTACACCCCTTTTGGATTCCTTGGGGTGCGGCGGCACTCTACTAACCGTCGCCTTCCATGACAGGGCAACATCTCAAGAAGTGGCTTTACAGCAATAGCCTGGCGAAATCCATACTAGCCAGATTTTTCACCCAGCCACTTCTTCATTCCTTCCTGCCTTCTCCATGTCACTTTGCTCTTCTCCATCGCTTTTCCCTTTGTCGTCTCTCCTTTTGAAGATGCCATTCTGGAGAATCGAGATAAGACTCCCGAGGGTATTGTGCTTGGAAGATATTGTCTTTGAGGACGCTTGCTTGAGGAAATGATATCGAAAATGCTGCTATTGAGGGCGCACATTTGAGAATAGGCTAGGTTCTTAGGCTTTTATTGTATGTACACGCTTTTGCTTCTTTGTTCCCGTGTAAGGACCCCTCGTGGGCTTTTGTAATCATATGTAAGGACCCCTTGTGGGATTTTGTAATGGATATTTCGCGAATACAAATATTTTTTCTTGACTTCTGCCTTTGATATTTGCCATATTCTTGTACATCTGCGGGGGTTCTGAATGTATGCCTCTGTCGATGATCGTCAATATCGAACTCGGGTGCGAGTATTCTTTCCGGTCTTTGGTTGGTAATCATGGCTCTTTCCCGAGTCCACCGTTGTTCCTTGGACCAAGCATGAATTGGTCCGATAGACTCGGGCCATCGAGGCCCACGAGTTACATGGGAATAACGCGTCGAACCTCGAAATTTTTTAGGATGGTCTCTGAGTGAAGGTCAGCTTCAGGCACCTGGAGATTTACTTTGAACTTGGTGTGTATAACCCGTTAAGGCATTGTAGGTGGGTTCCTGAGGAGGGGTTACTCATATTTAGGCGATGTCCTGAGGTTAAGCCCTCGTGGACGAGGCTCGAAATGCTTACTTTCCTTCTTGAGAGGTACCTTCGAAGTCGGATGCCATCTCGGAACTAGGGACGATGTTGTTGGCCTTTTGAGGCCTAAATTTTCTTTGATGGAGGTCCTCGAGGTCGGGTACCACCTCGGGACTGGAGATGACGTGGCTGGCTTTTTGAAGCCTAAATTCTCTTTGATAGAGGTCCTCGAAGTCGGGTACCTCCTCGGAGCTTGTATTGAAGTCACTAGCCTCCCGGGGCCTAACTTGGGTAGGTGGACCGTGGCTGTTTCCCCATATATATATGGGGGTTTTCCCGCTTCTTGGGAGATCCCACTATTTTAGATATCTATTCTTCCGTTTCGGCGTCGAGTCCTTTGTTACCTTAGCACCAAAGCGTTTGTGTAGGTTCTCGCTCTAGTCTGCTAGTCCCGCCATAGCCATGACTGCTACTTCAGGTGTAGACATGTGATTTTTTACCCTCCCCAAGATTTTTCATTTTTTAGCACGTAAATATTTAATTTAGGCCTAATATAGCTATTTAAACTCATTTTTACTCTTTTACTTTATTTTATTACAAGAAAATGAAAATTACAAAAAATATTTTCATTAATGCTTTGTAGTCATTTTTAATCTTGAAAAATACCAAAAATAGTTTCGTTTTAACGGTCAGTCTTATTTTAATAGTTATTTTACTTAAGTAGGATTAATTAAAAAATGACATCGCATTTTTAATCTCGTTCGCGGGGAAAGAATGAAGCTTAGGCTCGAGCAACCCATTTTTAGGCCTAATTTCGGACCTAGCTCATAATTCCCAAGCTCATTCCCTGAGCCCAATACCCTTAACACCTTTCTTAAAAACCTAGGGAACTAATACACAAAAGATCTAGAGACTAATTTGCAAAATACACATTTAGACCTAGACCTATATAATAGGGGTAACACCTAAAACCCCATGGGATTTCGGCCGTTCTTCAGGGATCAGCCAAAAAGGGAACAAAAAAAAACCAGAGCCTAAGACACTGAAGGAGATTAGCGCCGTTTTTCATAGGAAAACCCCATGAATTCGATCTTCTTCAAAAGGGAGCAGCTACAAAAACGTTCGTGAACTCCCATTTCCCCCCCCCCCCATAATTCTCATCTCTCTCATTATTTGAGATCAAAAAGAGCCAACGCCTAATACACAACCTAGACTTTAAAGAATCAGCCGTTCTTTACAAAAGACCTAGGCGTTATCTTCTTGTTCCCATTGAGAAACATCAACAAGCCAGCAATAGTAATGGTTTAGCCCCCTCTTCTGATTTATGATTTTTAAAATCATAGAATTCGATCAAATTTGAGGGTGGTCGGAGTCGATTAATGTCGAGGTGTCGTTCGGGTTTCATCCGGCACCCGCATTTCATTGGCAAAGCTCTGTTTGAGCTTGTTGCTGCATTTTCAAGTGGACATCCGAATGAATATTTCTATGCTTCTCTGTATGTTGGGTTGTACTACGAATCTCAGGTTTTTACTAATCCCTAGACCCTACATTCATTATGGATGATTCTTCTGGCAAATTGCTCTTGGAACTGAAAGTAATTTGGCTTATCTTGACCCCTTCTTACTTTCACAATGCACACATTACTCTGAGAATGACTTGTATATCCGATACTTTTTAATAAATTGTTTACGCCATGATTTTGTTCTCGAAACTGAGGTAGAGTAGCGACTTTGATTGACGTGAAGTGCAACGGTTGCTTTTGATAGTCTTTTATGAAAGTAACTGAAATATCATCTACCACTATAGCCTCACATGCATATGGTCATGTGATTCTTTCAGGCTAAGTTCAATAGTCATGAATTGCTTAATTTTCATATGATGGCAATTCTGAAGTCATATGGATTTACTTTATTACAATTATTATGTTTTCCTTGTCAATGTGTGACGACCCAAGGGGTCATCACCGTAATTCTTCCTTGTTCCGTGCTCCCGAGTCCTTGAAAACCTCGCTTTTAGTCGCCTCGATTTGCATGCGCAGTTCGGGCGCGTAGCCGGAAAGTTTTTATGTTAGAATATGTGGATTTTGTGAAAAATTTGATGAATTTTGGTATTAATATGCATAATGTTGACTTCGGTCAACATTTGGGCAAACGGACCCGGACCTATGATTCGACGGTCCCGGAGGGTCCGTAGGAAAATATGGGACTTGGGCGTGTGCCCGGAATCAAATTCTGAGGTCCCAAGCCCGAGAAATGAATTTTTGAAAGAAATTGTTTTTCTGAAATTTGATATGAAAATTTGAAATGAAAAGGAGTTAGAAAATATAGGTATCGGGCTCGTATTTTGGTTCCGACGCCCG